GGGGGGGGGGGGGGGGGGGGTGGTGTTGGCAAAGCTGCCCGAGCAGGCGCAGTGCGGCTGCAGACGTGCTCGATCCGTCTCGTTCCGAAACAGCACGCGCCGGAGAGACGGGGGTCCCCGGGGAAGGGACGAGCTCCGGCCAGTTGCCCTGACGACCTTTGTCACAGCGAGGAGGCGGGAGGCGGGTGACGGGTAAACAATGAGGAAGGGGCGGGGCCCCAGTGTGTCTGTGACCGGCAGCCTGGATCCCGGTTATTTCCGCCCCACCCCCCTCATAAACTCCGAGCACGGCACCTCCTATTGGCTGCTTGGGGAGGGCCACGCCCCCTCGCGGCCGACGTCACAATGCGGAAGTTGCCCCGTGAGTTTCAGAGCGATGCTTGCTTCTCGGTGCGACATCTGCAAACAAAGTAATATAGTCTACCCCTTCCCATCTCTTTCCTCGTCCTGGCAGGGTGGCAGGAAACTGTTTACTTACAGTACACGAAGGCGCAGGAAGTGATTCCAGGGAAGGACCGTACCCTGGAAAGGTTGGTTCAGGTATGCCTATCTCTCTTCAAGGTATTAGCATTCTTTCCTCCCAGCTTGATATTTCTCTGGCCAGAATGGTGACGCCTTTCCAAATGTTCACAATTATAAGATTTCTGTCAGGATTTAGGGGACAGTGAATGGGAGCATCCAGTTAGTTCTATCCTCCCTCCGTCTCCCCGTAATCTTGTCAGTTGATTTCCTTCAAATGCCATCCAATTTCATTTTGAAATGATTTTGATTCACCTTCACTTCGAGCACTGATTTTTGTCAATTTGTTTAGTAGAATACTTGAAAAGGAGGATTTGCAGACACAGATCTCAAGTCACTGGACCTATTTGATCAAACAGTCGAGTGTGGATCTGTCAATCAGCATGAATCAGCACCTTTATGAGAACGAGGACAGTGTAGATTAGGTACAGCAGAGTGAGAATGGAGGGAGTGTGTGTGGGATAGAAATTTACATATTTTGGGGAAATGAGAGAGGAAAAATATTGTTCAGTAGAAACTAAAATAGTCTGTTCTGAATTTCTACCTGAACTGGTAGTGACACTTTTGTGATCTTTTACAGGATATTAGAAAGGGAAGATTTAAAGTCAGAGAGCTCAAACCACACATCACGCAAATGTGTGACACTTTGACTCAGTTATCCAGGACCTGCATATAGTTGGCCTTAAAATCTTAAAGAAGAAATGTTTCTTCTTTCTGCTTCAAAAAAATTTAAACATCAGTGGGACAGCAAGAGTGCTCCAGTGAAATGACTGTGGAAGGAGCTTTAACTAGTTATGCAGTTACGCCAACTGAAAGAAACATTGCATTCAACAAGATGTTCTGTGCAAGGATGAGGCTTTAGCTCATTGTTGACCCTGGACATACACAAGGACATCTTGCACGATGGAGAAACCATGGAAATGTGAAGACTGTGGAATAGGCTTCAAAGTTCCATCTGAACTGGAGATTCATCGACGTAGTCACACTGGGGAAAGGCCGTTCACCTGCTGCCAGTGTGAGAAGAAATTTGTTAATTCATCCACCCTACTGAGACACCAGCGTGTTCACACAGGGGAGAGGCCATTCACCTGCTCTGTGTGTGAGAAAAGTTTTAGTCAGTTTTCCAGTCTTTTGAAACACCAGCGAGTTCACTCTGGGGAGTGGCCTTTCACCTGTTCTGAGTGTGGAAGAGGATTCAGTGCTTCATCCAGCCTGTTGACACACCAACGGGTTCACACTGGGGAAAGGCCCTTCAACTGCTCTGAATGTGGGAAGGACTTCAGTGACTCGTACAGCCTGCGGAGACACCAGCGAATTCACACCGGGGAGAGGCCGTTCACCTGCTCTGTGTGTGGGAAGGGATTTGTTCAGTCATCTGAGCTGCAGAGACACCATGTCTCTCACACCAGTGAAAGACCTTTTCAGTGCTCAGACTGTGGTCGTAGCTACAAAACCTCTCGGAACCTGATGCTCCACCAGCGAATTCACACCGAGGAGAGACCGTTCAGCTGCTCTCATTGTGCAAAGAGATTTATAACATCATCCAATCTCCGGAGACACCAGCGTGTTCACACAGGGGAGAGGCCATTCACCTGCTCTGTGTGTGGGAAGGGATTTAGTCAGTCATCTGGGCTGCGCAAGCACCAGCGAGTTCACAAATGATGACATTGCTTGGCTTTTGCTATTGTTATTGTGTCTGTTGATCACAACCAGGACTTAACCATGCTCATTCCCACGGCGGTCAGCACTCATCTCAGAGTCAGGAGATGGTGACTGTGAGACCCACTCCAGAGACTACATCTTCGATGATCCAGGGTTCAACGTTCCTGCCTTTGGAGACAGCATGTTCACGTGAGACTTTGCTCAATCGATGTTGGGATGGGGACAGGGTTTATTTTATAAGGAGAGGTTGGATACAGGTTAGGCCTGTATCCATTGGAGCTTAGCAGAATGAGAGATGACCTTTTGAAACATATGAGATCCTGACAAGGTTGATGCTGAAAGAGTATTTCTGACTGTGTGAGAGGCTTGATCTGGGGACACAGTTTAAAAATCCAGGCTCGCCCATTTCAGATGGAGAAGAGATTTTTCTTCTCTCAAAGGGCCATGACTCTTTGGAACTCTCTTACCCACACAGCAAGGAAGGCAGGGTCAGGGAATGTTTTTAAAGCTCAGGTAGATAGATCTTTGACTAATAAGTCAATCAAGGATTGTCAGGAGGGAGGGGTGAATGTGGAGTTGAGGCCACATGATCAGATTCAGTAAAAAGTGTTGTTTTGTGTGCTATACAGGCAGATCATTCCATACAAATGCATCAGGGTAGTCGAACAGAGTGCAGAATATTGTGTTATAGCTGCTGAGAAGGTCCAGAGAGAGAGAGATCAGAACTAACATTTGAGAGGTCCATTTAAAAGTCTGATGACGGCGGGAAGAAGCTTTTCCTGAATCTATTTGTACGTGTATTCAAACTTTTATATGTACTGCCTGACAGAAGAGCGTGGAAGAAATATAACTTTGTGAGAGGGGTTTTTGATGATGTTGGTTGCTTTCCCAAGGCAGCGGGAAGTATAGATGGAGTCAGTGGATGGAAGGCTGGTTTGGGTGATGGACTGGGCGGTGTTCACAACTCTCTAGTTTCTTGCAGCCTTGAGAAGAACAGTTGCCAAACCATGCTGTGACACAGCCAGATAGAATACTCTTTATGGTGCATCTGTAAAAATTGGTAAGAGTCCTTGTGGACATACCAAATTTCCTCAGGCTGCTGAGGAAGTAAAGATGTTGTTATGCTTCCTTGACCGTCGCGTTGACATGGGTGAAGCAGGACAATTTGTTGGTGATTATCACTCTCGACCATCTCCACCTCCGCACCATTGATCCAGATAGGGTCCTGCCCTCCACTCCGCTTCCTGAAGTCAATAATCAGCTCCTTCATTTTGCTGACATTGATGGAGAGATTGTTGCCTTTACATCATGCCACTAAACATTCAATCTCTTTCCTGTATTCTACCTCATCGTTTGAGATCTAACCAACAACAGTGCCGCCCCTAATTCCAATTGTAAGTTTTAAGAAGGAGTAGAGGCAGTTTAGATTAGTTCAATGTGGTTCAGCCCACCAGTTGAAAATTTCAAATTCATCCCTTGACATGACACTATTTAAATGTTCCAGGTTGGACAGACAAGTCCCCCAGGTCACACATAAGATCAGATTTTATTTGGTATAATTTAGTAAGGTACTTATTCCCCCTTTCTCGATTCATCCATTACTGAGATCAAGCTTGGGTGGCTCAGTTTTCATAACTTGAAGTGAATGAGCTGAAAGAGTCCTTTACTTAAAGATTCAATATAAGAAATTAATTGGAGTGAAAATGTCATGGAATATAAACAGACAAATTGAAATTGGGAGACTTTATTTCAAACAAAGTATTTCATTTAGTTTTCATTATTTGAGAATAAAGGTGTGAGTATAGGATAAAAACTGAGAATTGAAATAAAAGGGAATTGGGTGTACTGAAGGGAAAGCACCTTTTCTAGTTTTAACGGCATCAAACAACTCAATAATATCACCAACATTAACAACTTTTGCCAATTCAGTCTCAACGCTACAAATTGTTAAAACAGCTGATCAACTGCCAGCAAGCCAAACAACATCTGTACAAAAATCTGTCAATCTTTTTGTGTTGACCCTTCCTCAGAATAGGGAAAGTCTGAGGAAAAACTTTTGTGTCCTCCACAATCTTTCCTGCATTGTTTGTTTCTGTATCAAGGTTTGTTTGTGTTGGAGTTAACAAAAGTAGCAAAGGAGTTAGAAGTGATTCTAGTAAATATCAAATTAGTTTAAATGACTACTAATAGGACAGTGCTGTGGAGAAGATCAGAGGTTACACGCTGACTATATGGAGGACGTTGTGGTGCAGTAGTAATGACAGTCTAGAACCCCAGATCAAAGTTCTGAGGGTTGAATCCTACCGCAGAGATGGTAAAATGTCATTTTAATAAAATCTGGCATTTGAATTCAATAAAATCAATACTGTCAATTGTCATTAAAAAAAAGTCTGGTGCATCTGACTTCAGTGCTGAGCACTAGCATGCTGAATATCAAGAACTGGGAGAGTATGAATAGTGCAAGTTGCTACTTTTAAATGCTGAATAATTCAAAATATGGAACAATTCAAATATGATTGTCAAAACCCATTTTTGAGACTGCATTTCTACTGTCAGAAAATATCTCGTTCTCACTTCCTGTTGAATTCTCTCAATGATAGTAAACAGTTGATTGTCACTGGATCAGTTTGTCTCCATCATTATTTCTCAATGCACTAATCTCAATTTTGACATAAAACCAAAAGTTATGAGGATGCTGGAAATCTGAAACAAAAACAGAAATTCCTTTAAAATATCAGCAGGTCTGGCAGTATCTGTGGAGAGAAATCAGAGTTAACATTTGTTCAGTGACCTTTCTTCAGAACAGTTCTACTGATTTTCCAGTAATTTCTGCTTTTAATCTCAATTTTGAGTTTGTTTGTAAACTGCTTTTACTTGACACGGAGTTTTTCACACCATCTACACCTTATCCTCAATCTATTCTGATACTTACTTTCCCATACCTGTCTTCATGAACACTTTTGTCCTTTATCAGAGTGAATTCTCCCCCATTAAGAAATTGCTTACATTTTCAATGCTCCCTCTTTCTGTTGATAAGAGTTTCGCTGCTTACGGGAATAACTTTGACTTTTTCTTTCGACAACTTCCATCAAGTGCCTTTGCGATGCATCATTCAGCCCATCAAGTCTGTATTGTCAGTCCTGACACCACCCCTCTCTGTTAATTGTGTGAAAACAATTTTTGAGAAGGCCAGTTTGATACAGACTGTGGTGAGCATCTAGCCCAGTTTCTGGAATGTGAACTGTACATTTTTCACATAACATACAGGGATAGCAGTGAACACAAAGAATGGAATTAGCCTACCAGCTCCATGACTCAAGCCCTTAACACGAGGATAGAGAGTGACCCGACTTTAAAATAATTAGAAGGGTTGAAATAAGCTCTGGCACAAGGACAGTCAGAAATAAGGACAGATATTAAGCATTCAAGGTATCATTGGCAGTGTTACCATCACTCTTGTGGTGACAACTCTCCTGAGACACATCAAATCAGGATAAGGACAGAGACTTTCCCTGTGCTGTCAGCAATTGAGAGACTGCGGACTCTTGGTGGGGGATAAGAATATCCTCACTATCTTCACTGCCTTTTGTTCAGTATATTTACCAATTTTGCTTCAGAAATTCCACCATAATAATTTAACCTTTTATCACTTAGTTGAAACGCATTGTCAGTTCAGCAATATCCAGGGAAATTACGGCTGTGGAATACTAAATTAAGCTGAATAGATACACCACCAGCCTGAAATTTAATCAGCGTACAATTCGTACATTGGTCACTTGTCTGATTGTTGTTTGTGGAAGTTTACTTTGCACAAACCGGTAGTGATGAGAAATTAACAACTCATAATTGTAGAGACAACACAGTGTGGAGCTTGAGGAACACAGCAGGCCAGGCAGCATCAGAGGAGCAGAAAAGTTAACATTTCAGGTCGGGACCCTTCTTCAGAAATAGTCATCTCGTAATTGTAGAACACATCCAGCATCATAAACCATTCCAAGGTGCTTCACAGAAGGCTTGGTGGTAAAACAGTGTTTAGTAGATGGCCAAAATGTTGATTGGAGAGGGAGATTTTACAAGCAGCTTTAATTCAAGGAGTGACAGACAGGTTTCAGGGAGAATTTTGGAGTTTGACACTGAGGCATGGACACCAGTGGTGAGGTAATTAAAATCAGATACAAACGAGAGGGGTTCAGGTACCTCAGAGTGTTAGGAGAGTTGGGGCCATAGAGAGATCTGAAAAACCAAGATGCAAATTTTAAAATCAAGGCATTGCATGATCACGAGCCATTCTAGGTCAACGAGCACAGGGTGTGATGATGAACAAGACTTGGGTGAGAAAGCACATGGGCAGCAGTTTTGGATGGAGATAACACAGTGTGGAGCTGGAGGAACACAGCAGGCCAGGCAGCATCGGAGAAGCAGGAAAGCTGACTTTTCAGGTCGGGACCCTTTTCCTTCCTGCTCCTCTGATGCTGCCTGGTCTGCTGTGTTCCTGCAGCTCCACACTGTGTTATCTCAGACTCCACATCGGCAGTTCTTACTATCCCTCAGTTTTGGATGGACTGGTGTTTTTGTCTAAGGTAAGTGTGAGGGTCCGTTCAGGAATGAATGATCAAGTCTAAAAGTAAGATGGGCAAAGGTGAGGGTTTCAGCAGCAGATGAGCTGGAGTGAGGCAGAGATGGAAGACATTATGGAGTGGAAATACCTAGTAATGGTGATGGTGTATGACACTGAAGTGGTGAACAGTTTGGTTCAGCATCAGACAGTACCCAAGGAGAAGGGCAGGCTGGGTAGTTTTGGAATGGAACTTATAGTACTGACTGAAGACAATGGCTTTGATCTTCCCAGCTCTTACTGGGAAGAAATTTCTGATTCAACTCCTACTGGACGTGGCAAAGGCAGTCTGATAATTTAGTAATAGTGGAGGAATGGAGAGGGATGATGGTAAGGTGTAGCCAATTTTTATCAGCATACATGAAAATTAATACAGGGCTTTTGGATGCTGTCACTTGAAAGCTGTGTGTAGATGAGAAGTAGGAGATCCTTGGGAAAGGTAGGTTAGTGAGGGGGTGGTATTTTGCAAAGATGATGGGGTGAAGGGTTTTTAGTTTAAGATGGGTGATGGTAGTGGATTTAAAAGTGAGAGGATGCAATACTAGAAGAAAGGAGGACGTGAAAATATCAGATAACATGGGGAAGTTAGATGGTCAACTGTTTAGTGAGAATAGAGTCATGGAAGCAAGAGATTGGAATGCTGGACTAGGCTCTGAATGATATGTGATAGAGAAACTGGAGGAGGTTGGAGAGTCAGAACTCAGTCAACAAAGAATTTCAGAGGCAGACTGCGTCAGTGAGCTAGTGGGAGGGAAGCAGCGGAGGCAGCTAATTAAATTGTCTCAATCTCAGTGACAAAGAAGCTCTACGAGCTTCTCATATTTGTTGTTGGAGGTGAGGATCGAGGAGACGGGAGAATCATAGAATCCCTACAGTGTTGGTACAGCCCATTTGGCCCATCGAGTCTACACCAATGCTCCAAAGAACGCCAACCTCCCCCTTCCCCGCTACAATATCCCCCATAACCCCGCACTTACCATAGCTAACCCATCTAGCACAATACAGAGCAATTTAGCATGGCCAATGCACCAAACATGCACATTTTTGGACTGTGGGAGGAAACCAGAGCACCCTGAGGAAACCCATGGGGAAAATGTGCAAAATCCACACACACAAAGTCACCAAAGGCTAGAATCGAACCTGGGCCCCTAGCACTGTGAGGCGACAGTGCTAACTACTGAGCCACTCTTTTAAAAGGAATCAACTTGTACATTACAAGTATTACAAAAATCTGACAGATTAGTTAACACAAAGCTGATTTATTTGACTTTTACCGAGGATGTCAACATTTATAACTGGGCTCGAGTTTGTTAAACTTAATAACAAACAATCCCAACATACACGGATATGTACTGGATCTGATTCACAGCAAAACCCAACTCCTGCCATCACTTATGAACTTGCTGGTGTCTCAGCAGGTGAGATGCCCGATTGAATTTCTTCCCGCACTCTGAGCAGGTGAATGGTTTCTCCCCAGTGTGAGCTTGCAGGTGTCTCAGCAGGGTGGATGACTGAGTGAATCTCCTCCCGCACACCGTACACAGAAATGGCTTTTCCCCAGTGTGTACTCGCTGGTGTTCATTAAGTTGAGATGTTCGCCTGAACCCAGTCCCACAGTGAGAGCACCTGAACGGCTTCTCCTCTGTGTGAACGCGTTGGTGGGTCACCAGTGCCCCAGAACTTTTGAAGCACTTCTCGCAGTTTGGGCACTTAAATGGTCTCTCCTCTGTGTGGACACGTTGGTGGTGCGTCAGCTCCCCGGAACTTTTAAAGCACTTCCCACAGTCTGGACACTTAAAAGGTCTCTCCTCGGTGTGAACACGTTGATGGGACATCAGATCACTGGAACTTCGGCAGCACTTCCCGCAGTCTGCGCATTTAAAAGGTCTCTCCTCAGTGTGAACTCGCTGGTGATTCAGCAGGCTGGATGACTGAGTAAACCCCTTCCCACACTCGCAGCAGGTGAACGGCCTCTCTCCAGTGTGATTACGTCGATGAGATTCCAGTTCAGATGGGTAACTGAATCCCTTCCCACAGTCCCCACATTTCCATTGTTTCTCCCCAGTGTGACTACACTCGTGTCTCGACAGGCCAGGTAAACGGCTGAAGCCTCGTCCACACACACAACACGTGTATGGCTTCTCTGCACCGTGAACAGTGCTCTTTCCTTTCATATTCAAAATCCAGTGGTAGGTTATAATAAATCGTGTTTCTCAAATACAGTTTTGATGTTTGGTTTCAGATTTCCAACTACAAATCCTCCCTTTCTCACATCCTGTGAAAAATTGATTTAAAACAGAAAAGGCAATGAGAGAGAGAAAACAACAAAAATAGGTCTCACGAATGTACTTCAGGGAAGGGCACCAATCACAAGACAAGAGTCTGGCTACTAGGAGGAAAGAGAGAGGGGGAGAGAGAGGGGTAAAGGACAGGGATTTTATATACAACTCAACGAGAACTTGAACAAAACATCCTAAACGCTGAACTTCCCCCACACAGATGGAGCAGGATAGCAGGTGTTTGTGAACACCATCACATCCAAGTTACCTCCAAAGCACAGTCCAGATTTGTTTGACATCCCATCCTGGATTAAGCAGAAATTTCCTATTGAAATATAATATATTGATATCCTCTTCATCACCAAGCCCATATTTTCCCACCTCAGTAAGGTTGTCTAACTCCGCCCTAGTCTCCACTCATCTGCCTTTGAAGCTTCCAACCGTTCCTTTGTTAGCTGCAAACCACCTCCCACATTCAACCTTCAGGTCACCCAAACTCTGCTGCATAGATCCTCACTCATACCAACTGTTGTTTACCCATTGCTCTGTGCTCACTGCACACAAAAACCCCAGTTTAGGAAGCACCAAAACATGACAATTCTTATTCCTGGTTTTCAAATCCTTCCATGGCTGCCATCATCATTATCTCTGCAATCACCTCCGTACATACAGCACTCTGAGATAGACTGGTGGAAGGGAGGGAAGCTGATTAGGTGATCTCAAACTTAGTGACAGAGAAGCTCCAAGAGCTCCTCACACTTACCGTTGAAGGTGAAGTTGGAGAAACAGGGAAGAGGGACAGCATTTCAAAAGAAAGTATGTACTCAAATGAAAGCAAAGTACTGCAGATCAAATAAAAACTGAGTAGCCAGAGAAACACAAGAGGTCTGGCAGCATCCGTGGAGAGAGGAACACAACTTTTTGAGTCCAATAAGACTCTCTTTCAGAACAGAATAGTTCCAGCTTTTTTTTATTTCAAAAGGAACTAACTTGAGTTTGATATAATAAAACAGTTGAACACACTGCATTTAAAATAAACTTAATATATGTGACTTTTATCCACAATATTAACCACTATAAGTAGACTGGAGTTTATTAATGTCAGCATAATCAGACCCTAGAGAACATGGTTCTGTTCTAGATGCGATTAACAGCAGAATCCCATGAGAGCAGTGAGTTGTGAATTTGCTGGTGTCTCAGCAGAGTGCATATCTGTGTGAATGCCTTCTCACACACAAAACATTGTACAGCCTCTGCCCCGAACGGACTCTCTGATGTGTCAGCAGATCGGACAAAACAGTAAATCCTTTCCCATGCTCAGAGCAGGTGAATGACTTCTCCCCGGTGTGAATTTGCTGCTGGTTAGTGAGGTGAGATGGCTCCCTGAACCCAGCCCCATAGTGAACGGTCTCACTACACGGTGAACACATTGATGGGACATCTTCATGAGAACCGTTAAAGCATTTCCCACAGTTTGTGCATTTAAAAGGTCTGTCCTCTTAGTCAACCTGCAGGTGTCTCAGCAATGTGGATGACTGAGTGAATACCTTCCCACACTCGGGACAGGGGAATGGTCTCTCTGCACTGCCAATTTGCTGATGTTATAGGAGACCTGATGATCAAGTGAATTCCTTCTTGCACTTGGGCAGGTGACTGGTTTCTCTCCTGTATGAATCTACTAGTGTCTCAGCAGGTGAGGTGAATGAATGAACCTCATCCCAGTCTTGGGGCAGGAGAATAGTCTCTCCCGGTGTGAACTCACTGGTCTTTGAGAAGTTTGAATAATCAAGTGAATCCTTTCCCACAATCAAGCAGGTGAATAGCCTCTCCCACCCTGTGTCCTACACCAATGAGTTTCCAGCTCATACAAGGCTCTGAATCCCTCCTTACTGTTCCCACACTTCCACAGGTTTCTGCCAGTGTGAACTGTGCCGTTTCCTGACATGTTCAAAATCTGATGACATTTGGGATGCAAATTGGGCAACTCCATGAGCAACTAATGTGATGTTTGGTTTGAGCTTCCTGAGTGCAAATCCTTCCCATCTAAGTCTGTGAAATTAATCTTGAAACGGAAAACAGGGAGTGAAAGGAGGACCCACAAAAACACAAAGGCAGGCTGTGAAAGCAAGCTGAATGGATTTGCTAGACTGGTGGGTTTGGCAAAAGGAACAGTGACTGTGAGAGCTGTCAGATTGTTAGAAGGATGAGGGGGGAATCTAATTGAGACTTTCAGAATGCTGAATGGCCTAGGCAGAGTGAATGTTGGGAAGATGTTTCCATTGGTAGGAGAGACTAGGACCCCAGGGCGCAGCCTTAGAGTGAAGGGGAAGCATTTTAGAACGGAGACAAGGAGTAACGTCTCCAGCAAGAGAGCGGTGAATCCATGGAACTCACTGCCACAGAAGGCCGTGGAGGCCGGGTCATTGAGTGTCATTTAAGTTAGATAGGTTCTTGATTGTCAAGGGGATCAAGGGAGAATGGGGGTTGAGAAACTTATCGGCCATGACTGAATGGCCTAATCCTGTGTCTAATGGTCATAAAACCCCACTGGTTTCCTCCCACCTGACCTGGGCTCAGGAGACAGGGAGAGGCAGTGGCTGAGAGAATGTCTGGGACACATGTTCACAACATTCTCTCCCCTGGCCCAGGATGACCGCGCCTGCGCCCTGCTGCCCATTGGCCCCCCTGCAAAGATGGCGGCGGCGGGTCCCGGGGAGCCCGGCCGGAGACACCCCCGCGGCTGCTGTACCCTTCAGCCGCAAACCGCCCCCCTCCACGGGGCCTCCAGCTTCTTATTCGGGGTATGAGCGTTGCACTGCACGCTCACGAAGCCGCCCGGCCTTTCCCTTCTCCCCCCACCCGCTGCCCCTAAAAGTCGCTGTCCCGCTCCATCCCGCCCTCGTCGTCCGAAGAGACAGAGAAAAACAACAGACCTCGCCGCGGCTTCACCCGCGCTGCGCATGCTCCTGGTCACCGTGGGAACCCAGCTGATTGACGGCGGCTCTGGACCAATAGGAAGAGGGGGCGTGTCCGGAGGACCGAGCTGCGGCGGCTGGTCTTCCAACCAATTGGAGTGAACGGAGGGCGTGGAGGGGAGGGGAGGGGAGGGGAGGGGCGGGACTGGAAAACCTGGACCTTTTTGTTTGGCTTTAAGCATTTGGAAGTCTTTAGGAGTATGGGGCAAGATCTCTCATTGCAGTGTGAGAACCTCCCCCAAACCATTCAAGGGCTGATTAAGAAGGGTCTAGGCCCGAAACGTCAGCTTTCCTGCTCCTCTGATGCTGCTTGGCCTGCTGTGTTCATCCAGCTCTACACCTTGTTATCTCAGATTCTCCAGCATCTGCAGTTCCTACTATCTCTGATTAAAAAGAATAATGGGGAGACAGGGGAGTCTCACCATCAGATCAAGAACAAAGAGCACAGCACAGGGACAGGCCCTTTGGCCCTCCAAGCCTCATTTCGCCCTTCCATACTAAAACTGTGTTCACCTTCAATACCTTCAACACTGTTATCCCCTCCAGACCGCATGACCTTGGTCTCTGCAATTGGATCCTCAGTCTTCTGACCCATGGGCCGCCATCAGTGAGGATAGGTAAATTTGGCATGTCCATAAGATCCCTCACCGACTTCTACAATGCACCATTGAAAGTATACTGCTGGGTGCATAACGGCCTGGTATGGCAACTGCTCTGCCCAGGACCGTAAGAAACTACAGAAGGTGGTGTGCACAGCCAGACTATCATGGAAGCCAACCTTCCATCCATGGTCTCCGTTTACATGGCTTGCTGCTGTGGAAAGGCTGCCAACATCATCAATGACCCATTTCACCCTGGTAATGACCTCTATGACCTCTTCCGTCAGGCAGAAGATACAACAGCCTGAACACACACACAAGCAGCTTCTTTCTGGCTGTTATCAGACTGTTGAATAGACTCTAGCCTCAAATAATGTAACCTGCAATAAACTTGTATGTTTGTAAGTCTTTTTGATCTGTACATCCTTTGCTTGCTGTGATCTACCTGTACCGCTCGTGAACAAAGCTTTTCACTGTATTTCAGTACATGTGACAATAAAATCAATCAAATCAAATCACTTACAAGATCTGTAACCCTGTATTCCCTTCCTATTCATGTATTCGTCCAAGTTATGAGGTGATGCATTTTGGAAGTTCAAGTAAAGGTGGAAATTATACAGTGAATGGCTGAACCCTTAGGAGTATTGACATGCAGAGGGATCTGGGTGTGCAGGTCCACAGATCACTGACGTTGACAGTGCATAAATGAGGTAATAAAAAAAAATTATGACATATTTGCCTTCATTGAAAGGAGCATAGAGTATAAGGATAGACAAGTTAAGCTACGGCGTTATAGAACTTCAGTTAGGCCACACTCAGAATATTCTGTACAGTTCTGGTCACCACACTACCAGAAGGATATGGATGCTTTGGAGAGGGTACAGAAAAGGTTTGTCAGGATGTTGCCTAGTATGGGGGATTTTAGCTATGAAGAAAGATTGGATAGACTGGGTTTGTTTTCACTGGAACGCAGGAGGTTGAAGAGCAACCTAATGGAAGTTTGTAAGGTTGTGAATGGCATGGATAGAGTGGAAAGTATGAAGCTTTTTCCCAGAGTGGAGAGGTCAATTACGAGGGGAGACAGGTTCAAGGTGCGAGGGGGGATGTTTAAAAGAAATATGCAAGGCAAGTTTTTCACACAAAGGCTGGTGAGTCCTAGAAAGTGCTGTCAGAGGAGGTGATGGAAGCAGACTCAATAGCAGCATTCCATATCCTTCTGGTAGTGTGGTGACCAGAAGTGTACACAATATTCCAAGTGTGGCCGAACTGAAGTTCTATAAAGCTGCAGCTTAACTTTTTATGCTCCTTTCAATGAAGGTAAATATGTCATAAACCTTTTTTTTAATTACCTTATTTACTTGCACTGACAATTTCAGTGATCTGTGGACCTGCACACCCAGATCCCTCTGCATATCAATACTCCTAAGGGTTCAGCCATTCACTGTATAATTTCCACCTGTACTTGTCCTTCCAAAATGCATCACCTCACATTTGTCCGGATTAAACTCCATTGCCATTTTTCTGCCCGTGCCTCCAACTGATCTACATCCTGCTGTATCCTCTGACAAACCTCATTATCCGAAACTCCATCAATCTTTATATCATCCACAAATGTCCTAATTAGACCAGCTAATTTTTCCTCCAAATCATTTATGTAGATCACAAACAGCAGAGGTCCCTGATGGAACACCACTAGTCACAGCCCTCCATTACTAAAAGCATTCTTCCACCACTACCCTCTTAGTCTGCTATGACTAAGTCAGTTTTGTATCCATCTTGCCAGCTCACTCCTGATACCATGTAACTTCACCTTTTGTACCAGTCTACCATGAGGGACATTGTCAAAGCCTTTACTGTAGTCCATGTAGATAACATCAACCGCTTTTCCTCATCAATGATCTTTGTCACCTCCTCAAAAAACCCGATCAAGTTAGTGAGGCATGACCTCCCCCACACAAAACCATGCTGTCTATTGCTAATAAGTCCATTTCCTTCTAAATGCGTATAGATCGTCTCCCTGGCAATCTTTTCCAATAATTTTCCTACCACTGTCATTAGGCTCACAAGCCTGTAATTTTCAGGATTATCCCCATTACCCTTTATAAACAAGGGGACTTCATTCGCTATTCTCCAGTCCTCTGGGGCCTCACCTGTGGCCAAAGAGGAGACAAAGATGTTTGTCAATTCTCCGGCAATTTGTTCTCTTGCTTCCCTCAATATTCTGGGATAGATCCCATCAGGACCCAGGGACGTATCTACCTTAATACTTTTTAAGACGCACAACATCTTTTCCTTTTTAATAGCAACTTGGCTTAGAAACTTGATACTCCCTTCCCACTGAGATCGTCCTCGACCAAT